ACTAAAAACTAATACTTCTGTCACACAATTATTTGCTGACATTAAAAGTGGACGCAATTGGACGGGAGGGTAGAGTTCACTACTAATTCATTACTTAATTACTTATTGTTTTCAATTTTAATTTCGGATTTTTAATCAATTTTTACGAATTGAGTATTAATTTGAAAATTTATTTGTCAATAGTTTTAGTAATCTCTTCAATGCGGCGCCGACTCCGCCGACCAAAGAGACGGCCCGGAGTTCTGCGAGCGGCGGTTCGCCGGCCGTACGTTTCAGTTCATCGAACCCGACATCAGTCACACCGGCGTTGGACGCCATGAGGAAGAGAGCGCGCGCCCACCAGACGGCCGGTGGCAGTGATCTCCTGCTTCTCATGGACTCAGACCTGAGTAGCGAAAGATCCCGAGCGCTGAGGAGTGTTAGAGCGCACGTGAATCGGACGGGTAATGGGGATCGGATACAGGCGTACGGTTGGAGTATCTGTCCTTAGCCGCCAAGTCCGTTAGTCAGACTGCTTGCCTACCGCAGGTTGCGTTAGTTTCCGTGCAGTCAAGGGCAAGGGTATATAACAGCCGGTAACTCACCTCTACTGCACCCTTACTTCTATAGGTGCGCTTCCGCTGTTGATCTGACTGGAGGTGAGGCCGGCTTTCCCAACGAGAAGAGCGATAAGGAGAGCACTCCGACCAACACTGAGTCTAAACCAATCACAGACACCGGTGTTAAAGATCCCAATAACGCTTTGGCCGACTTGGAGTCTGAGCTGACACAAGCACTGAGCGAACAGACGAACCGTTCGGTTGACAGCCATTACAGCTGTAAACACACCTAGACATCACAATCAGTAAGGTTTTCGTTTCAGTGTTAGCAATTGTAGGCCTCATTAGGCCCTCTTCACAACCTGAGCAAATTACAGTTTTGCGTAAATAATACGTAAAGATCCATTCCTGGCGCTAAAGTCAATGATATGCAGGGCTCGGACGGCATAGAAGTGGACGATAACGAGATTAAGCTCGTCCTCAAACAGGAGTCGAGGCGCGAAAGCACTCAAAACGACTCATATAAGGCCAGCGAAAGCAAGTCTAGCGATGGAAGTGAATCAAAAACACATGAATCCCGACAAATGGACGACTCGTTTAGTCGCGAAGCCTTAGCCACTGAGTCGGCGGCAAAGAATGCCACTCTTGACAAGTTGTCTGAATACGTGGCCTATACTGAGCCGCCATCGCCTACGAGCACCTGCGACGACATCTCCACATCGAGTAATGTGTTTCAGCCGATGTCGACGTGTTTGCCGACGATGTGGACGGGAGGCCAGAACGGCATGCTTTACGTGCATTCGTCGATCGCTCAGTGGAGTCACTGCATCGCAAGCATAAAGCTGTCGGACTCTGTGTTGCAAATAGTGCACAGTAGGGGTCGTGTGTT